CTTGGGCATGCAAAAATTTTGGCCGCAGACCTTGGACATTCCAACAGGATTCAGCACCATCGCACTCAGCACGAGGTTCCTCGCTTCATTTCCAGCAATATAACAATAATCCAACGGATTGGTATCCGGAGATTTTGGTGGCGATTGTGCCCAAACTAATACTAATCCGTTGGACTACTGTGTTTGGAGTATTTTGGAAAGCAAGGTTGGCACTAAAAAATACCAAAGTGTCGATCACCTCAGGCAAGTGCTTCGCCGGGAATGTGCCAAAATACCGCAGAGCAACATTCGGGCAGCTTGTGACGGTTTCATTGGCAGTTTGAAGTCCATAACTCGTGCCAAAGGTGACCAATTCGAACAAATCTAAACTTATTCTAAAATTTGATGCTTCTACCGACATTTTTTACTTTCTTTCAATAAAATTTAAAAAAAAATGTAAAAATTATGGCGTTTGACTTTGTGGCAGTTTTTTTTTTCTCGCCTTGTAGTTATGGTTTTGGCTTATCCCATCTCATCACATGCCCAAACCATTTTTTTTTTTTTAATTTTTAAATTTTTATCTCTTATTGATTTCCATCTAAACTAAAGAAATGTTTCAAAACTATTTTCTATTACTTTTATGCTTTGATTCTCAGTAAACCACTGTGCCAATTTTAAAACAACCATATAACTTCACAAACGCACCCAAACTCCCACTGATACGACATTTTTCTCCTGAAATACAATTAACTTCCGATATGACTTGGTTACCAACATCATTTCTTCCAAAGCGGAGGCACTTTCATTCGAAAAGCATTTAAATGATTTCTCAGCAATTGTGGTTTACCAAATTAGTAGCTGACATGTCGATCCTATTATTGGCTAAATTGGGTTGTGGATATGTGAATCACAGTCGTTTAATTAAAACTCTTAAAGATTCCGGGTAAAAGGAATTCTTATTACACCTCCTAAGTGTTTTTTTTCTCATTTTGTAATTAAATGAAATTGTGTGTGCGTTTGTGTGTGTGCATGTGACATCCTCAATTGTTCCTCTGTCATCTGTGTATTGTTTATTAAACATTTGATATTAAAAATGTCATTGCATAATTTGTGCGTAAATTGATTTGTAAGTGAGGATTTGATGTGGAAATCAAGCCAATTGCTTGTCAAGACTTATGCCTTGCTGTCTATTATTCCGCTTTCACCTGTCATTCATGTCACCTTTTTTGTTGTTGTTGTTCCTATATACATAAAGTGTGAATTCATATTAATAAATCGAGAAATATCACGCATCACGCGTCAACACTTGTTCATTGTCTTGATTTCATAGTGGATTCACCTAGTGAACACCTCGGCTGAGTCGAGAGTCTTGTTAGAAATTGGAAAAAATGTGAGAGAGAGAGTGACAATAATAACAGTGGGACAAAAAAAATTTAAAACCAGATTTCATAAAGGCTGTTCCCTATTTAATATTTAACGGAGATTTACCAAAATATCCTATCACAAAAGGAAGTATTCAAAATTTTGCACATCCTAGTATTTTTTTCAACTTACATCAACTTCGAAGATGGGAAATATTGGCATAACCTTCAGCTCCTAAAAATTAACTAGTAATTAAGTATCGCCTAGAAATGGAGCACCAATACCAGATAAATATCAACAAGTAAGAAAGCAGCTAAGTTCGGCCGAGCCGAATACGCGAATTCGGATTTTTAAAGATGGCACAAAATCGGATTATTATTTCTTGTTGGATGTGGTAAATTATCTTATGTGAAAATTGTATCCTTTCTTAGGTGAGGTACCAGTAGTAGGGGGCCGATATTTCCCATCTTCGAACTCGATCTAAGTTCGATAATAATGTACAAAGTTTGGACCAAATCGGGAGTTATAGTGTGGACTAGCCAGACACGCCTAAATCGACTCCAAATATCCTGAAAAGGAAAAATACCTAGAGTATATAACAAGGGTAGGTAGTTTCAAATACTTATATCAGTGGATTCTGTACCGAAAATAAAGCATGTGACACCATTTTGAAAAGGTTTGGGTGTCAGCTTAAATATGGCTCATACCTTGTGGGCACTCATAATAGGTCTTTTTTCGTCATTTGCGGGGTTTTATAAAAATTGGCAGTTATTTTCATGTCTCCCCGATCCCACGGTTTGAACCTATATTTTCGGGTGAAATATACGGTTAAATTAATAAATATCCGGATATTGGTTAAAATATACGAGTATTCTGTTCATATTGTAAAGCAGGGTAAGCATTATATTGATCTACCTTCTTCATCATCTTCCCGATACATGGTGACAATTTTGCAAAATCACAATTTCTGTTCCAAACATTTAAGTTAACGAGAACATTTGTTTATAAAGATATTGTGGCGATCAGAGTCTTTAAAAAATTCCATAACAATTTACTACTGTACCTGTAGTGGTCCTAAAGAAAGATCAGTGAAAATCTGCTTTTAAAGATTGCTTTCGACACCGAAGTCCTCGAAACAAAAATATTTTGAACAAGTAAAAAAGCTGTAAATTCGGCAGAACCGAACTTTGAATACCCTCCACCATTTGGAACGAATTTGGCAATTACCAAAAAAAAAAAAAAAATAAAATCCGTTAAAAATTCTGTTAAAATCTTAAAAATACCGAATATAGGGAGGTACTATTTTATGAGGGCTATACGACAACATGGACCTGCACAGAAAAATTTCTGTCATAGGCTGTAGTATCCATTACGAACTTCAAATACCAAATTTGAATCAATTCCGGTGAAGGATGTCCGGTAATAATGTAGTCCTGAAAAAAGATCAGTGAAAATCTGCTTTTAAAGATTGCTTGCGACACCGAAGTAGTCGAAAAAAAAATATTTTCAACAAGTAAAAATTGTAAATTCGGCCGGATCGAACTTTGAATACCCTCCACTATTTGGAACAAATTTGGCAATTTCCAAAAAAAAAATGTATATATATATGTACAAAATCCGTTGAAAATTCTGTTAAAATCTTAAAAATACCGAAAATGGGGAGGTACCGTTATATGGGGGTTATAAGAAGACGTGGACGTGCACAGACAATTTTCTGTCATAGGCTGTAGTATCCATTCATTCCGGTGATTGATGTCGCTAAAATTGTCCTGCATGGACAATTTTCTGTCGTAGGCTGTAGTATCCGTTGCTAACTTCAAGTACCAAATTTGAAACAATTCCGGTTAATAATGTCGCTTAGATCAACAAAATACCGCAAATATGGAAGTACCATTATATGGGGTCTATACCAAAACGACCCATTTTCAATACCAACAGTCCTGCAGACATAATACATATTTGAGTAAAATTTTATCAACCTACTTCATTTCGTTCGGAAGCTAGAGTGATTTCCAAAGACGGACAGACGGATAGGCTGACGGACATCACAAAATCGACATAGAATTTAAAGCCGATCAAGAATATGTATACTTTGTGGGGTGTAAAATGTATATTTCGAGGTGTTACAAACGGAATGACAAACTTAATATACCCTCCATACTAAGGTGGAGGGTATAAAAACCAAGGTTGGCATGGCTAATAGTCCTTGAAAATGTTGACAACTCTGTTATTTCCTCAAAAATGTTCTTTAAAAAAGACTTTTTCTTGTCATCCCATTAGGGCTTCCAAAATGGATTTTTTTTGTCCCAGAATACATCAAAAATCATCGTAAATATCAGAAATACATTTTTGGGGTATAGCCGTACTCTATGTGAGTTTATGTAAAATTCTCCTAGAGAGCATCATTTTAGACGAATGACGTCAGGGACAAAAACGTGAATTTTTAAGGACTTTATAGCTGCCAATGAAGGTTTTCAAAGCATAGAGCTAACGACTTGCATTTTTAAAGTTTTTTTCAAGGATTATTAGAGCTACCAACGAGGATGTAGAAAGATTTTTTTCAAACGAGCTAATATTCAGAATTTTTAAAGATTCTTCAATGACTATTAAAGCTATTCACATTGATTTTAAAATAATTTTTTTCAAGAGCTGTTTGAGCTTCCAATGTGGATTTTCAAAAACTATTAGAGCTGACAGCGTGAATTTTTAAAGAATTTTTTAAGTAGCTCTAACTATTCTGAAATTTTATAGTTATTTAAAAAAAATCAATTTTAACTTTGATTTTAAAATATTTTTTGTTAAGGACTATTTTGGCTTCTAAAAAGGATTTTCAAATAATAGTGCTACCAATTTTTTTTCAAGGACTATTAGAACTACCAATGTGGATTTTCTGAACAATTATTTTCTATGACTTTGGGAGTCTCCATCGTGGATTTCCAAAAAATTATTTTGAGGATTGTTTAAACTATCAACTTGGAAGATATTTTTAAGGACTATAAGATCCTCCCATGGAACGATTTACCCAAAGCCACTTTTTTCTCAGTTACTAAAATACAAATTTGGGATTTATAATTTTCTAACATTTCCCAATATTATCGGCCCACTGTGCCATAAACGTGCCTAAGACACTAAACACCACATTGTCACTGCCTGACATCTACCACATTTGTATCATTGTCTCCTTTGCAGGCAACGTGTATTTCCTTTTGTCGTTGTCTCCTTTTTTTTTTTGCCCCACTTGTTATGATGGGCGTCGTATCATTGTCACCGACAAACCATCAGCGTAGAATTAATAATGTGTCAAGAAGAATATTAGCAAACGCCATAACCGATGCGAAGCAAAGCGTGTGGGGGTATTGTTCTCTTGGATAATGACAAATATTTCTTCTTTCATAAAGGTGTTGCTTTGGTTATTGCTCGGCATCAGGTGTTGCTGGCACAACAAATCGGTCGCCGATGGGTGGGGTATTCTGTTTTAATGGCCACTTAAGTGTAATTAGCAATAACAGCAACAATTGTGTAATAGAATTCCTTACAAATATTGTTTTAATAGTTGATGGTGTTATCTCTGTTGTGTGGCAATTACTGTTAAATAATTTTAGAATTGTCATATGGATATTGTGTCTTTCTTGTTTTTTTATATGAAGTTAATTACTTACCAATAGAGAATGTAGTTCATTGAGATTTTAAATAACCTGTAAGAAGAAAATATAAGACTTTAGTATATGCGTAAAATGTATTAGTAAGTAACTATTAAGGTGAAGGGGCAATGGTTCCCTATTATGCAAAATAGCAAAGATGTTCATTGGCATTTTAAGCGTTTACATAGAATACGAGTTCATAATAATATCAAATAAACTACATTTATTTTTGGGCACAGATTTATCTTCGCCGATGTGAGATTTTTTTTTAAAGAATACTCCATCTGAAACACTGAATATGACTACACTATCCACTGTTTTCTTTCTCCGCCGTGGTATAAAATATATGCCAACTTTTTCACTCCGTTTGCAAACCCAGATATTCGCGGCCCGAAATAAAGCATTTTTCTCCGATTTTTTTAAGAAGCCAAGAGAGCATCTAGCGTCTTCTTTTTTTTCAGAACTATTACAAGCACGAACATGGATTGTAAAATAAAGATCAGTTTCGAGTATTATAAGAGGTGCCAAAGTGGATTTTTTTTAATTTTTTTTTTCAAAGACTTTTAGAGCTACGGAATTCGATTTTTAGGAGAGTTTTTGGGGAACTATAAGAGCTACCAATAGAGTTGTTTTTGAGCAGAGTTTTTTAAGAATAATTTAAAGGACTACTAAAACCTCAAAGGTATTATTAAATACTTTTTCAAGGACTATTAGAGGTCCCAAGGTGGATTTTTTAAGATTTTTTTTCAAGCGCTATCTCAGCTACCAATTTTGATGTTTAAACATTTTTTTTTTCAAAAAGTGTTGGAGCTGCAAACGTGGATTTTTTATCAATTCGTTTCAAGATCTTTTAGAGCAACCAACTTAAATGTTTAAATAATTTTTCCAAGAAGTATTCATTTCAAGGACTTGTTCAGCATTCGTAGATTTTCAAAGAATACAGCTACTGACGTATATTTTTAAAGACTTTTTTCGAGGACTATTAGAGATACCCACACGGTTTTTCTAATTTTTTTTTCAAAAGCTCATATCTTCAATTTTTAAAGATTTTTCTAAGAACTATTCAAGCTGCCAACGTGGGCTTTCAAATAATTTTTTTTAACAACTATTAGAGCTACCACTCTTGATTTTTGCCTATCTTTTACATGGATTATTCTTAACAAGAACTATTAGAGCCACCAAGGAATATTAGAGCTACTAACGTGGATTTTCAAGGAATATGACAGCTCATTATATTGTTTACAAGCGTACAAAAGCATTTGGTGAGAATTTTCCAAAAAAAAAGTTATACGTGATGGAATTCAAGCTTGATAGTGTGATTTCTTTACCACAAGTGGCTATCGTTAGAGCACTCTAGCATTTGAATGTGAATAAATCGTTTGTGTCTCGTACCATCGCTCGTCACCGGGATACTGGTAGCGTAGCCCAACGTCAAGGAAGTGGACGGAAGAAAACACCAAAATCAGCAGAAATGGTTCGAAAAGAAACGAAGCGACTTGATCGAAATCCGCGTCGTAGAAGCCGAAAAATGGCTCGTGAGCTGAACATATCGCAATATTCCATTCGGCAAATATTAACAAAATGAGCTCGGGGTAAGGCCATTGAAAATAGACTCAAAATAGCTAAAAAGTTGCTTCGCTTGGCCGAAAATGATGAGCTGCCGAATTTGGTTTTCTTCGATGAGAAAACATTCGTTGTCCAGCGATTTGTAAACAAACAAAATGATTGTATTTACTTGCCAAAGAGGTGAGCTGAAAGTGTGCACCTTCGGTTGGCCACCAAAACTCAAGCGCCGGCCATGGTGATGGTGTGGGCCGCCATAACAGCCGATGGGTGCTCTCCGTTCGTATTAATCGACTGTGGCATCAGGATTAATGCCGAATATTATCGCGAAAATATTCTGGAAGGTGTATTAAAGCCTTGGGCACGCAAACATTTTGGCCGCAGACTTTGAACATTCCAACAAGATTCAGCACCATTGCACTCAGCACGCGCCACCCAAGAATGGTTACAAAACTAAGTTCCTCGCTTAATATCTAGCGCACAATGCCACCAAAATCTCCGGATACCAATCCGTTGGACTATTGTACCTGTAGTATTTTGGAAAGTAAGGTTGGCACTAAAAGATACTAAAGTGTCGATCACCTCAAGCAAGCGCTTCGCCGGAACCAAATTACGGCAGAGGGTAGCGGGCAACAGATGACGGTTTCATTCGCCGTTTGCCATAATTCGTGACAAGGGTGACCAATTCGAACAAATCTAAACTTATTCTAAAATTTGATGCTATTTTCGACATTTTTTGCTTTCATTCAATAAAATTTAAAAAAATGTAAAAATTATGGGGTTTAACTTTGTTGCAGTTTTTTTTCTCACCATGTACCTAGGTTTAAGAGTTTTAAAGAAAAATACATTCGAAAATGTGAAGTGAATCTTATGTTTTAATATTTGTTACTGCTAATTGAACACGTTTCCATTCTAAGCCAAAATCTTTATTTCATACTTAGTTTTTTTTGGAAGGTGTCAAAGGAAAAAATATTTTATATAAAATTCTATTGGGAGTCTCTGAACAAAAGAAGTTTATATAATTAATGTTCCAAAAAAATACCATAAATTTTATAAAAAATAGCCTTTCCTTCCGAGCATTTTCCTTCCGAGAAATGTAGAGTTTTTTTAATTCGCTGTATATTTTCCATAATTTCACTTTTCAATACCCAGTCTGTGTTGTGGAAATTTCCAAGTGAATTTGATAGTACACGCTTTGCAGATCCTATCCCCAAAAGAAATTCGGGTAATAAGTCCAAAATTCTTTAAGGCTTTTATATAGCCTTGACCATGTTCGGAGAACCGGACCATTTGGAGATATTTATCTTTTAAATCATATTTTATGATATCCTTTCATCGAATATTGAATATTGAGTCTCGTTGAACCTTGTATTTGTTAGAAAAAAATCTTCGGACTTCATACATGACAAATTACGTCTATAAAGAAATTTCTTCCCTTCGCACTGACATCTCAACAATGTTGTCATTTTTATTACTCCCATTCATTAGATAAATAATTATTAGCACCTCATTAAGGCGTTTACAGCACTCATTCTTATGTATGCTCTTGAAAAAAAATTAATTTAAAATTTTATTTTCCAATATACCTTTATACGATAAAGTGAGATTTAATAAAATAAACACTTATCCTATCTCCCTTTTATCCTTAGCTCTGCATTTGAAACCGCAACCGCACTTTGTGTATTATGGATTTCAATTTAAATTTCGTTCGCTACCTACTTCAAAATATATTTCAATTCGAACGAAAAACAAATTCGTTTGAGGCGGCAAATGCTATGTTACCGAGCTTACGTTACCCCCGCAGGATAACATATTCCACGGAAACTTTTTAACACCAAAAAAAGGTGTATTCAATGGGATTTTTTTTTCTTGTTGGGTGTCTATTGATGGAGTGCCAAAAAAAGTAAAGTGAAAATGAAACCATCTATTTTAAGTAGAATAAATAAATTCTAATAAATGGAAAAAATTGATGAACGGTAAACAATGAAGTCTTTAAAAGTAAAGTTTTATTTAAATAATTTTTTTATCTTTCTACTTCATTTTATGATGGGAAATCATGCTAATTGAATTTTGTGACTGATGTGGTAACACAAGCAACGCACAGTGGTCGCTGCCATTGGCCAAAATTCAAAAAATGAAAATCAGATATTTATTGTCAAATGTGTAAAAATGAACTCTTAAGGGGTTAAGCTTTTTAGAAAACATAATAATCTTGGATTCATTCTAACGGGACACTTCGAAAATAGCATCAAAAAAGAGAAAATGTAGTTAGTTGTTTTTTTTCAGTGGGATCAGGGAAAAAGTGAAGTAAAAATAGAACTGTATTACAAAATTAAATACATTTTAAAATTACAAATCTTGGCAATATTATTGAAAAGCAAGGTATTAACATATTTTTAGTGCAGTAATTTGTGTGTTTAGTATATGTGTATAATATAGAAGATGTGAGTGTTCTGAGTTGTCTTTAAGATTAATTTTGAAAATAAAATTGGATTTCAGTTAAAGTTTTAATTGTTTTCCCCCCTGAATCCTCCAATGTGATTTTTTTCACGCCATTATTAATGGTCCTAAGATTCTGAAAGTGCTAATTTAACTTTCAGATTTTGTCAGATGTGTACGTTATGCCCAATATACTGAAGTGACTTCGCTGCAATTTTGTCAGTTCTATGGTGCTAGTGACATAGAATATGTTTTTGTTGTTAGGGATTGATAAGGATGTAATTGAGGGGTGTTCAATAATGTTGCAGGCATTGTCCTCTGGGTATAATATTTATGTCGAAAAATTTAAGGCCTTTGCACTGGAAACTGCTAAAAAGTTAAAAAATTTATATCCATGGCACTATCTTCCAAGTTTCGACTAAATCATACCCGAAAAAATTCTCGTGTTTCAACAAACACAGATTTTATTAACCGTCTTCTTCTGAGCTCCAACAACGATTATAGTAATAATTAAAAGTCCAAAGGAAATAATATATTGGATGAATATCCTCCTCTAAATCGATTTCTATTAAATTTGTCGAGGCATTTGCGCCTTTTCAATTCGGGCTTGTATTATCCATTTGGTGCATAATCAACTTGAAATCGGATAGATATATATGAGGGCTATATCTAAATTTGATTTGGGTTAATATTACACGTTTGGTGCACAATAAAAGGCAAATCGGACGAAGATATATATTTGAGCCATGTCTAAATATTAACAGATTTCGATAAAATTTAGAAAGGGTATTTCTGAGTTATATTTGATACATTTCCCCAAATATCGTTGTCACAGAGTGCATATTACGGCTGCGGAGGACAAAAATAACAAATCGGATGAACAATATATATGGGAGCTATATATATATCTGAACCGATTTCGATCAAATTTGGCACACTTATTTTCAGGTCCCATCTGGTCGTACGTATATTCCATACTATTTGGGCTGATATTAAAAGTTTGGTCCACAATATAAGCCAAATTGGATGAATATATATGGGAGCTATACCTA